TGAGATGATATACGATGGTATGAATGTAAAACTAAAGTTTCCCCATGTAAACTATCATATAATTCACAATAAAACATTAAAAAAAAAAAAAAAAAAAACCCTAACCCTAGAACCATCTGCACACAAAGGAAACCCAGATAAGGAATCACAATGGCTATGACTTCATGGGACATGTAACCCATGCTACTTGTAGTTTATCAAGCCTCTGCTGTTTCTCAACAAACACAACTAATGTCACTAGCTGTGAAGTCCTTAAATAAAGGCATGCTTATTTCAGACAGAGGGGACACAGAGGAGAACCAGTCCAAGCAGAAGAGAGTGGTGACTGTCACAGAGACAAACAAGCACAAAGCTTTTGTTCATTCAACAAGTATTTATTGAGGGCCTGCTGTCTGACAGGCCTATGCTGGTTTCTCAGGGAGATACAGAGATGAAGTCAGAAATACAAAAGGCAAGTGGAAGGTCCAGAGAACAAGTTGACTCATGGAGTTCCCAAGGCATCATGGGAGAGGAAGACCCCTCAGCTCGACCCTGCCTTTAGGCCACACCCTGGCCCATGGACTTCTTGCAGACCCAATGGTAGGCGGCACTACAGTCCATGTCATTCCACTTCTGCTGAATATGGACACAGTCTTCAGTCTGCCCATTATTGTGTCGCCAGTTGTCCGGCTGGTTGTTCTCCCAAAACCTGAAAACCAAAGGCTTTATTCAGCTAGCTAAAGGAAATGGCCCTTCCCATGCTGGGACATATGAAGCTAAAACAACATGGGTCCCAATCCCTTTTGGGCCCAGAATGGGAAGAACCCTCAGCTACTGAGGATCCTGGGATATGGAGAAGCTGCAAATTGGGAAAAGGAGAGAGGTTATGGGCCCTCACTTTTAATCCCACCCAAAATTCACACTCAGACCTCTTCAGATGGAGCCCTTTGCAAACAGACCTGAGCAGGCAGAAAAAAAAAAGTATGGGTGTGGGTGAGACAAGAAGATTCACTCACAGGCTTCCTGCCAACTCCAGATCCAGGACCTGTACCTCCTGCCACTCCTCTGGGAATGGATCCAGCTGACCATCACACTAAGCCTGTGTGTCTATGCACATGTATGCATGCACACATGCAAGCACACATCCACATCCACACTTCTTGATCAATGACACACACACATGCACACAATCAGGATAGAAATGGCACAGTGCCTCAGACAGCACTGGACTCACGTTCTACTCTGGAAGGCACTGAACTGTGTCCCATCTATCCAACGCCAGGAGCCCTCCGTGCCCTTGTCAGTGAGACCAATCCAGTGGTAAGAAGTGCTCGTAAACTTTGTCAGAAAGGTCTGTAAAGAAAAGGCAGAGTTACTGACAACAGTGTATAAGGAGCTGGTTCTCCATGTAGTATGGAAGAGGAGTCCATGCCATTCCCTCCCTGGTAACAGGGCCATGAAGTCCACTTCTCTGAATCAGGGGCAAACCACCCAAATTATTTCATAATCTACCCCAGATCTGCAGTCAAGCCCACGTTATTTGTCCCTAGAAAGTCTCAGCCCTTCATGGGGGATGTGGCTTTACTGGGAGGAGACAGATCTGGTCACAGCTTATTAACATGTGTTTTACCAAGTAGCACACCCTTTGATAGACCTAGAAAAGTCCAGGAGAGCCACAAGGGGTGGGCAGTTTAGTTATTTGAATTGGTCCTTTTATAATCCCAACAAGTTCTGATGAGGAATCTTGACAGATGGGTCACCCTGGGACTATAATGCCTTTGGTGGTCCTCAACCACATATATGTATATCTGGCCTTCCCAAGAAGCCTGTGTCTCCTGCTCACAGGCTTTCCATGGCTATTGAATTAACAGACATTAAAATCAAGATTACTGACTAGATAGGGTTTCTGAGAAGAAATGATGAGGTATGCTTCCCAATACTTTATTGGTGTCACTCTCAGCTCCACTTCCCTTTGCCCTTCCTCCCTGCTGCTATCAGTTGATCTCTGAATATTTCCCGTATGCACCGAGGACTTTGGAGTTTGTTGTCAGGACTTCTACCTCCAGTGCAAGATGCTCATAGGAACTCATAAAATATCTGCTCCCTGACTGATAGAGGAGACATAGAAGTCTCTGTCGTGTCCTCTCTAAGAGGGGGATGTCCAAAGCACCAAAGTCTCTTATCGCATACAAAGTCCATCAGAACCACCCCAGTCTCTCAGTTCTGACCTGCTCTTCTTCAGATGTCACTGATGCGAGGTGGGCTCCCTGGGACACACAGAATGCTTCAGCCTCATTCCAAGATTTCTTGTCATGAGAAAAGTAATACAGGCTGTTGCTGTAGGCCTCCCAGCCTTTCAGGATCAGCTGGAGAAGTTGATCTGGACAGAGATTGCATAGGAGAGGGAACCAGGCTAAAGGTAGATGTCTGAAGCTGACCTTCCTGATCTCTCTGGAGCTGACCACTGAGATTCAAAATCCTGTGCAATCCTTGACACCCAGTTCTCCAGGAACAAAAGGGTCATACCCCCACCCCATTACCTAACACTCCAGGGAGCAGCAGCTCCAAGGCAGGGGCTCAGTCACCCTTGGGACACTCAGACACGGTGACACCCAGACAACAGTCTATTTTGAGATTCATGCTTTCTGGTCATTCCACCCTCTTTTCCAACTCATTGCTTTCACCTTATTGCCCTTTCCATCTCAAATCCTGCCATCTTATTGGGAGATTTTACATCCATCCCATTGCCTCACTCATTTCCTTGATTTCATCTCCATCCTTTTCAGTTGTCCACACCTATCATCATACCTGAGACTTTGTTATTGCCTTGTCTACCTCACCTCACAATTCCCATATTCTAACAGCCCACACTACCGCTTGTCTGTCAGTTTGTCATACTGTGATGGCTTGCATGTTGCTGTGATTCTGAAAGCTACGCCACGGGCATTTTAAATACCAGGAGGGTCACCCATGATGGGCCGGTTTCAAATGAGCATCCAGATGAAGACAGAGTAGGAAGAAGGAGAGATGGACTACTTCTTATTTATTTAGTCATGGAAACCTTATGAATAGCTGTGCCAAGCTGTCAGCACCAGAATATTGAATATTGAAACATAATGAACAGCACCAGAAGGTTGTCAGATACAGTTCCAGAAGATGAGCCCCTCAAGTTGGAAGGCACTCAAATATGACTGGGGAAGAGCTGCCTCCTCAAAGTGGAGCTAACAGTGATCACCCTAATGGAGTAAAGCCTTTGGAACCTACATTTGCTGATGGGCCACAACTCAAAATAAAGAGAAATAATTGTAAACATCCATTAATAATAGGAAAGTGGAATGTATAAAGGATGAACTTAGGAAAATTGGAAATTGTAAAAAGCGAAATGGAATGCATCCATATCCTAGGCATTAGTGAGTTGGAATGGACTGGTATTGGTCATTTTGAATCTGACAATCACATAGTTTACTACACTGGGAATGAAAAATTGAAAAGGAATGGCATCACACTCATTATTGAAAAGAACATTTCAAGATCTGTTTTGAAGTACAGCACTGTCTATGATAGGATAATATCCATAAGCTACAAGGAAGACCAGTTAATGCCACTATTATTCAAATCTAAGCATCAACCACTAAAGCCAGTGTGATGAAATTGAAGAATTGTACTAAATTCTTCAGTCTGAACTTGATCAAACATGCAATCAAGATGTATTGATAATTATTGGTGATTGGAATGCAAAGGTTGGAAACAAAGAGAAATGAACAGTAGCTGAAAAATATGGCCTTAGTAATAGAAACAATGTTGTCAATCACATGGTAGAATTTTGCAAGGCCAATGACTTCTTCATTGCAAATACCATTTTTAAACACCATAAATGATGATTACACACATGGACCTCATCAGATATAATACACAGAAATCAAATTTACTACATGAGTGGAAAGAGACAATGGAAGAGCTCCATATCATCTGACAAAACAAGGCCAGGGAAGACTATGGAACAGACCACCAATTGCTCATATGTAAGTTCAAGCTGAAGCTGAAGAAATTCATACAAGTCAATGAGAACAAAATATGACCTTGAACATATCCCACCTGAATTTAGAGATCATCTGAAGAACAGATTTGATGAATTAGACACTAACAATAGAAGACTAGAAGAATTATGGGATGACATCGAGAACATCATACAGGAAGAAAACAAAAGATCATTAAGATAAGAAATAAGGAAAAGGACAAAATGGATGTCAGAAGAAACTCCATGTTCTCCAGCATAGAGATGCTAAAGCAAATGGAGGAAATACAAGAGCTGAATTGAAAATTTCAAAAGTCAGCTCGAGAAGACAAAGTCAACTATTATAACAAAATGTGCAAAGACCCGGAATTAGAAAGACAAAAGGAAAGAACAAGCTTAGCATTTCTCAAGCTGAGGGAACTGAAGAAAAACCTCAAGCCTCAACCTGCAATATTGAAGAATCCTATAGGCAAAATATTGAATGATGCACACAGCATCAAAATAAAATGGAAGGATCACACAGAGTACTGCATCAAAAATAAATGGTCCATGTTCAATCATTTCAAGAGGTAGCATGTGATCCAGAGCCAATGATAGTGAAGAAAAATCCAAGGTGCATTGAAGGCATTGGCAAAGAACAAGGCTGTAGGAATTGATGGAATGCAAATCGGAACATTTCAACAAACTGGTTTGGACTGGAAGCACTCACTCATCAACACCAAGAAATTTAGAAGGCAACTACCTGGCCAACTGACTGGCTGAGATCCATATTTGTGCCTATTCCAAAGTAAGGTGACCCAACAGAATGTGGGTATCATTAATCGGACAGTATCATTAATAGTGCATGCAAGTAAAATTACACTAAAGATAATTCAAAAACTGCTACAACTGTTCAGAGGTTCAAGCCTGAATCAGAAGAGGACATGGAATGAGGGATACCATTGCTGATGTCAGATAGATCTTGGCCAAAAGCAGAGAATACCAGAAAAAATGTTTACCTGTGCTTTATTGACTATGCAAACGCTTTCGATTGTGTGGATCATGACAAGCTATGAACAACATTGCAAAGTATAAGTATTCTGGAACACTTAATTGGGCTTATAAGGAACCTGTACATAGACCAAGAGGCAGTTGTTTGAACCGAACAAGTGAATACCAAATGATTTAAAATTGGGAAAGGTGTGCACCAGGGTTGTATTCTTTCACCATATTTATTCAATCTGTATTCTGAGTAGATAATCTGAGAAACTGGATTATATGAAGAAAAACATGGCTTCAGGACTGGAGGAAGATTTATTAACAACCTGCAATATGCTAATGATACAACCTTGCTTGCTGACAACGAAGAAGACTTAAAATACTTACTGATGAAGATCAAAGACCACAGCCTTCAATATGGGTTGCATTTCAACGTAAAGAAAACAAAAATCATGTTTGGTAAAGTCAGCGAAAAAGAGTAGGGATTGACACAGTGGCAGCAACCATGAGCTCAAACATAACAGCAATTGTAAGGATTGCACAGGACTGAGCAGCGTTGTTTTGTTATGCATAGGTCCCTATGAGTAGGAACCAACTCAACTGCACCTAAGTAAATGAATTCCCCATAAAGATTCAACTCTGAACCAAACTCCCTGCTATCAAGTCAATTCTGACACATAGCAACGCTATACAGGGCTTTCAAAACTGAAAATCTTTACAGGAACAGACAGCTTCATCTGTCTGTTTAAAACTGGTGGTTTTAAACCACCAACCTTGTGGTTAGAAGCCCAACGCTTACCCAATAGCACTACCATAAATAATGCTCTTGTTAAGTTCTGTGGAGCAGTTTCCAACTCAGAGCGACCCTGTGTAGAGTTTCTGAGGAGCAGCTGGTGAGTTTGAACTGCCAACCTTGCAGTTCAAACAACCTTGCAATCCAGTGCTTTTCTTCATATAATGTTGTTGTTGTTAAGTGCCATCGAGTCTATTCCAACCCATAGCGACCCTGGATAGGGTTTCTGCAGAGCAGCTGGTGATCTTGAACCACCGACCTTGCAGTTCAAATGGCTTTGCAGTCTGGCACATTAACCCACAGCGCCACACCACAATACAGCCTAGGAAATCCTATGGGGAAGTTCTACTGTGTCATATATGCTGTTGTTACGTGCCATCGAGTCCATTTCAACTCATAGCAACCCTGTATAGAGTTTCGGAGGCTATAAATCTTTGCAGGAGCAGAAAGTCTCATTTTTCTCCTGCAGAATGAAACATTGCATGGTCCTCCCCCATGATCACGATAATAGATTGCAGATAGGACCATCATGATCCGTAGAGTTTTCACTGACTGATTTTTCAGACAACCACCACCAGAACTTTTTTTTCTAGTTTAGAGCCCTTCCACATCTAGTCTGTGTCTCTCCAGGACTACCTATCTTTTCAGCCCAGTGGTTTTCAAATTGTAATTGCCATTCCATTGTTGTTGCTGTTGTTGTTATGTGCCATAGAGTTAGTTCCAACTCATGACAACCCTGTACAGGATTTTCAGGGAACAGCTGCTGGGTTTGAACTGCCAACCTTGTGGTTAGCAGTCTAATGTTTATCCTGCACTGCCACACCAGGACACCCTTCCATTGTTGTATGCTGTCAATCAAGTCTGTTCTGACTCATAGCAAACCTACATAGGGTTTCCAAAAGCAACTGGTGGATTTTGAACTGCTGACCATATGATTACCAGTTCAGTGCTTATTCTACAGTACAATACCAGGACTCTCCTTTCCATCAGGGGATGTAAATTGATTGTATGTGAAGGTTGAACAATGAATAAGAAAGAAGGTAGAAGAATTGATGCATTTGAGTTATGGTGTTGTAGAAGAATATTGAAAATACCTTGGATTGCTAAAAGTATCTACAAATCTGTCCTGGAAGAAGTACAACCAGAATGCTCCTTAGAAGCCAGAATGATGAGATTTCGCCTCTCATACTTCAGACTTACATCAGAAGGGACCTGCCCATGGCGATGGGCATTATGCTTGGGAAATTGGAGAGTCAGTTAAAAAGAAAGAGTAAATGGAAAGGGGCTAAGGACTGGGGGGGGGGGGGGGGGAGGCTTATGGGGGACACCCTTGGGTGGGGGGGGGGTGCAGGCTTACAGGGTACACCCCTTGGTTGGGTGAGGATGCATGGACGGGATGGTAACTATGCCAATGAAATGATAGATGATGGAATGAATGTAAAGCTAATGTATCTCCCATGTAGACTATCACACAATTCACAATAAAACATTAAAAAAAAAGAAGAAGAATAAACCCCCAATAAGATGCATTGACACAGTGGCAGCAGCAGTGGGCTCAAACATAACAATTGTGAGGATGCTGCAGGACTGAGCAGTGTTTTGTTGCATTGTGTATAGGGCGGTGATGAGTTGGAACTGACTCAATGGTACCTAACAATAACTGTTTTAGTGGGTAGTGACAAACTCTTGTGTTCTTAAGAATAGTATGTAGAATAGCAGAGTGAGTTTATGTGGTTAAAGTTTTGTTTTTAAAAACATGTATATATAGACAGATACATAATTTTACTGGATCACAGTGTAAAATGAATTTCTGGCTATGGTCAAGTTCAAAGCAGTTTGAAGGCCACCATGCTGGTCCCTACCGATTGTCCTTTCAGCTTTGTGCTTCAGCAAGCTGTTTTCTCACATGTTGTTGTTGTTGTTTTGTGCTGTGGAGTCGGTTCAGACTCATAGTGACCCTGTATAAGGTTTCTGAGGCTGTAAACCTTTACGGGAGCAGAAAGCCTCATCTTTCTCCAGCGGTACCTCTGGTAGTTTCGAACTGCTGAGCCTGAGGTTCGCAGCCCAATTTGTAACCACTATGCTACCAGAGCTCCTTGCTGTGCATTATAGTCAAGGTTTAAATGGACTAATTCACTGGGAAGCAAATATTATTGTCCCCATTTTTCAGATGGGCTCTGAGAAGGTAAGCACCTTGGTCAAGATTGGTATTGCTGTGGAATGTGGGAAGAGTCAAAAATACGTTGCCTGTCCCCACTAGCTATGTTCCCACTAGTGATATCTGGCACTAAGAGCTCACATTGTCCTTACTCTATCTCTTCATCACATAGATTTTGTTTCCCAAACAAAAGAGATTTTTGTGGAGCGATCATAAGCCCCTTGAGAACTTACACTGTCTCCACCACTTCCCAGACATTCAAACCAAGCCAAACCTACTACTATCTGGTGAATTCCAACTCACAGCGACCCCACGTAGGGTTTCTGAGACTGTAAATCTTCATAGGAGCAGACAGCCTCATCTTTCTCACCCGAAGACCTTAGAAGTCAATTTCATTAGATTTGGGCCTCCAACCACCACCCACAGGAGTCCTAGTGTGACACTGTGGGTTAATGAGCTGGACTGTTAATGAGTTTGAACTGCTATGTTGGCAGTTTAAAACTCACTAGCTGCTCCTTGGAAACCCTAAACAGGGTGGCTATGGGCAGAACCGACTTGATAGCATTTAACAACAACAACCATCCACAAGGAGCTCTGGTAGCATAGTGGTTATGAGGCAGGCTGCTAACCTCAAAGTCAGCAGTTCGAAACTATCAGCTGTTTCATGGGAGAAAGATGAAAGATGAGGCTCTCTACTCCTGTAAAGACTTACAGTCTCAGAAACCCTATGTAGGGTCACTATGAGTCAGAACTGACTCCACTGCACACCACCACCACCCACACTCCTTCCCAGAAAGGCCACGTACTGAGGTAAGAAAAGAGATTAAACAGTCTTTAAAGACGCTACCCTCCCCAGCTGCACCCCTTGCCCACCACTTACTTTGAAGCCTTTGTTGCTGCTCCTGAGAAGTAAAGGCCTCCTGGAGTGCCACAAGGCGGTTCTGCTTCTCCTGGATTTGGGCAGTGAGAGTTTTGGTGTTCCGTAAGTCACCTGTGAGCCTCTGGATCTCAGCATTGGCTTTCTGCAGGCTGCTTCTTAGGGTCTGGGTCTGGGCATTTAAGGCCGCAGTTCCCCTCATGCTTTGTCTTAAAGTCTTTATCTCGCTGGTGGCATTTTTCCAGTGATCATTTAACACCTGAACCTGAGAATTTAAGGCATTGGTGACTTTCAGTTCTGCTTTTAATTCTTCAAGCTGAGCATTTGTCTGCTCCAGACTGCTCTTTGCTATTTGTCTCTGGGTGGTAGCTTTTTCCAAATCCATCTTTATTGAGTGAATCTCATCCCCAGTCCTTTCCAAACCACCTTTTAGTAGCTGGACCTCTGCACTAGTCTTCTCTAAGCTGCCTTTCACAAAGGTCTGGATGTGGGAATTTGCAGAATCTGCACTTTGTAGACCTCCCTTAAGCTTCTGGATCTCAGCATTGACCCCTTCCAAACCACTTCTTAAAGCCTGACTCTGGGTCCTTAAAACATTGACACTGCTCAGATTGCCTCTTAAAAGGAAGATCTGAGCATTAGCATTTTTTAAACTACTGTTTGCCAACAGGGTCTGAGCATTCACCATTTCCAAGCCAGCCTTTAATATCTGAATGTTCATACTGGCATTTTCTAAACCTCTGTTTAGCATGTGGAGCTCAGTAGTGGTGTTTTCGGAGTTGCTTTTTAAGAACCTCTGGGTCTGGGAGGTTAGAGCATTTGCCTTTTCCAGATCTTCTTTGAGCCTCAGGATCTTAGCATCGACCCCCTCCAAGGAACTCCTTAGCATCTGGGTCTGGAGACTCAAGGTGTTGGCATCTGTTAGCTCTCCTTTTACCATCTGGATGTCAGCATTGGCATTTTCCAAGTGACTGCTGAGCATCTGGAGCTGAGAACTGATATTGTCCACATTGCACTTCAACATCTGGATCTCTACACCCCAAGTGCTAGAGTTCTTCACTTGATCTTTCAACATCTCGATAGATTCTTGCACCTCTGCCACCTTGAAAACATGGTGGTAGGGTCCTGTAGGAGAGGAAATGGGCATGTCAGTCAAAGAGGACCATTATATAGGGGTTTCTCAAAGGCCAATGAGAGACTTCTCAAGATTTCCAAAGGGAAATGTATACTCCACAGCCCTGAGAACTCCTCCAGTATTCTATTGTTCACTCATCCTCCCTGACCCTGAGGATGGACCACCTGACAATATAGCTATCATACATGGACTATGGGTCTGAAGGGTTGAAATATTTGCCTACTCTGAACTCACTATAGTGTGGCACTATAGGATCAGTACTGGACTGCGAACCACAAGGTCGGCAGTTCAAACCCACAACTGCTCCTTTTGAAACCTCTATAGGGTCACTATACAGGTTCCTGTATACAGGACCTACACAGGATCACTATGAGTCTGAACTGACTCAACAGCACTTAACAACAACAACATAAACCACCAAGAGTCATGCTGATATGGCTTAGTTTCCCATTGAAATTGAATTTGACAATAGCTCCTTATATAACTTAGAGCTGTTGACATTTAATTCCACTAAAATTTTACCATTAGATGGGTCATTATTGAAAGAATAGACATGACTAAAACTGAAATTTAGGCCTGCAATGTATTTGTTCACCAAACATGGATACTCTTGATTCACCATTGTTGTTGTTGTTAAGTGCCATGGAGTAGGTTCCAACTCATAGCCAAGGCTTTAAATCTTCAAGGAAACCGAAAGTCTCATCTTTCACCCACGGAGTAGCTGGAGGGCTCAAAATACAGACCTTGTCTCAATCCAGTGCTTATTATATGGAGCCACCATGCCCCTGATTACTACTTTCCAAAAATCATATGAATATGAATATGGAGATGGAGTGGCGCAGTGGCAGCATCAATGGGCTCAAACAGCAACGATTGTGAGGTTGGCCTAGAATTGGGCAGTATTTCATTCTGTTGTGCATAGGGGCACTATGAGTTGCTACCGACTTGATGGCACTTAACAACAACAAAAATCATGAAGACTACAAATATTTACATTTTCCAATCTCAAATTCCATGAAAGAGGGATTATAAAAGGCCTGGTGTGGCACCATAGGATAAGCACTCAAGGCTGGTTTGAGCTGCAAGTTCAGTGTTTCAAACTCACCAGATACTCCTTGGAAACCCTATGTAGGGTCGCTATGAGCTAGTACCAACTAGACTAGAAGGCACTTAACAATAACACTACATTTGTTGGTGAGAAGGATGGTATTTTCATTTTCTGTGATGGTGGTGATAGTTTCACAGCATGTACATACATTTGTCAGAACTCATCAGATTGTATACTTTAAGTACGTGCATTTTATTATGTGTCAATTACACTTCACAAGAGCTCTTTAAAAAAACAAAATATTCTGTGAGGACAGGGGAAGCCATTAATGGACTTGAGGGGGTGAGAGAGGATTGTTCTAGAGTCTAATCAACTCAATGCCCCAGCTCCCTTCCAGCCCCCTGCCCCCACCCTAGTGTGGCTCACCTTCTAGATCCACAGGCAGTTGCCCAGTGTTGTTGCCTTCCGGATCCATGGCTTGAAACTCTTGTAATGAGGTATCTGCAGGTCTTTGGTGCTGTCGAGCTAAAACATCCCATTCTTGGTCAGCACAAACTCTCAGTTCTGGGTCTAGGGGAACAGGCTGTCCCACCCCCAATTAGGGTTCCAGAAGGAGGGAGTTGGCACCAAGGCTCCTTTTGGAATTTTGCCTCATGGAGTCTCAATTCTGGGGAGATGTCGCCCCTTGGACAGACCTTTGGTCTTAGGAAAGGTCTGGGACTGGAGGTAGAGTTACCCTCTGAGAACAGAAGGCACAGAGGATGTGTGTCTTGGTCACTTTGGGGCATTTATGCAGAAATAAGAAGCTTTGAGTCACTTAGGAACTTACCCACAACAAAGAGAGCCACAAGGGAGGAGACCAAGGTTACAACCATTAATATCAGGACCACCAGGACAAACCTTGGCATTTTGGACACTGCAGGGGTCATTGCCTCAGAATCCATGCCTGCAGGGGACAAGAGTGTACCATATTACCTGGGCCATCTGCCATATTGATCATGCAGGATGCTTATAGAAAAAGAAAGCAAGGTACCTCGAAATGCTCCTGAGGACTGACTATGGGTTCATTTAGCCACACAAAGTGGTCTTGACAGTACCATTCTCTCAGAAAGGGGAGGAGGGCTCAGGTGCACAGGGCACAGAGCCCGGCACAGGGGAGAAGTAAAAGTTTGGTTTAAAAGGAGAAAGGGAGGCAGGAGCCCTGACTCTGGATCCTGGTGTAGACTAGCTCAGGGATCCTGACCAGAGCAAGATTCAGTCTTTTGAGGCTGCCGAGGTGGGATTCATGAAATATGAAAAAGTGCTTTTCTCTTAAAAGGTCAATCCTAAGGCTTAGGTCCTAAGTCTTCTGGGGCTGGGTACTGGGAAATCTCCTTAACTGAAGAGAGGTCTCATAGGCCAATCCAGTATACAGAGCTGGGATTCAAAGCCAGGTCTGTCTGAATTCATGGTTCACCACATTCTTTTGCCAGGTTGTCATCTCCAACCTAGGAGATGGAGAGGAGTCTAGAGAGATTCTTGCAGGGAATAAGTTTCCCCATCCTTAGTCTGTTTGCTCTAGAGGCAGGGAGAACTATAAGCTGAGGTCTGTGGGACGGTAGGGGGCTGGGTTCAAACAGTCCTAATTCTCACCTCTGGGATGCAGAGAGACACACTGATTGTCTGTGCAGAAATAGGCCTTGGTTCCATCCATCTCTCCTTCCTCCATCCCTCAGTGCTGCTACCTGCCCTTCAAAGTGGCCGTCACTGGACCAGCAGCAATTGGAAGCAAACCTGAGACGTTGCCAGATTTATATACTCCTGATGTAAGTGATTGCCCCTCCCCTGCTGAGTCTGTAGAAACCAGACTCAGGGGCCCCTCCTCTCCAGGGCTCCAAGGCGCCATCTGCTCATAACCCCTATTCTCTTCCGCTTTCATTAGCATATCCCCCTCCTGTTAGGGTAAGGCGACAGGAGGGAAAGATCAGTAGCAGCAGCAGCAGGAAAAAAATCAACAAAACATAAAAAGAAAATAAAAACTCCACATACAAAGGACAGCGGGGCAGAATGTGGACAAGAGATAAAAAATTTTTTTAAATCTATCTCCTAGTGCAGGATATAAAGAAAAAAAACGATTTCCTTGTGCATCCAGAACCCAGAGAAGTTTATGAACCCTTCCTCTGTATTCAGCTACACTGCAGGATTTGTTAACCACTAGCTACCTATTAACCTCATCCCCTTCCCCACCCCCCACCCCAACCAATAAGCAGTTTTCAGGGTTCTATTTTTTGAAATCTAGTGGAATGGCCTCTTCAGTTTAACCCCTCATTATAAAAACACCTTGGGCTGTGAGCTTGGAAAAGGGCTTTGCCGTCTATGACACACCTTCCGCAGGTGTTTTCCCATACTTCAATGTTGTTGTTGTTGTTGTTGCTAAGCACCTTCAAGTCGATTCTGACCCATAGTGACCCTGTAAACATTTCCAAGGAGCAGCTGGTAAGCTTGAACCTCTGACCTTGCAGTTTAAACGACTTTGCTGTCTGACACATTAGCCCACAGTGACACAGACCTCTTTAATACTGTATTATATGACTTCCTAGTCTTCTGTAGCTCAACCTGGTATCATTGTTGCTCCCACCATCCCAGTCTCTGTCACATCCAACATAGCTCCCAAACACTAACCTCTGCCCTAAAGTCACAAACTCATCTTTTCTCTTCCCCATGAGCTGGGACCAGCTTTGCAGAGAAAGCATCCTGTGACTGGGACTGACCCTTCATCCTAGCCCCAGCCCCATCCCAGATAAGTAAAAAGAGGTCACAGTGGGTGGGCATGGTGGAGGGGGGGTGGTGCCTGGGTCAGTAACTCATTGCCCACTCAGACCTCACAACTGGCATTACAGGAAAGGCCCACCTTGATCTGAGATCTTGCCTTTAGTCGACTAAAGTTGATCAAGTTCTCAGGGACTGTAACTCAGAAGAAATTATAACTAAGACAGGGCCAATGTGTTGCTTTTCCATGAGACCCAGAACTTCAGGGGGTTTCTGTGGTGTGGGGGGTTTAAGAGTAAGAAAAGATGAAAGTAAGGCAGCCATAGGGCAATGCCAGGAGTTGTGCTGAACTGATGTCCCATCCCCACAACAGGGACGGCCAGTTGCACAGAACAATGTTTCCAATAGTTGGTTAAGGATCCCCACCCAAAGTCAGTTCTGGAAATAGTGGCAGATTCCTGCGACTTGGTAACCCTCTTATTACTTCACAAGGTTACAAACATTGAAATGGGTCACATATTCTTTAACTTATAAAAGTCTAATTACCTATCAGCTCCCATTTCATCAGCAACTCATTTGTAAATGGTCAGCTGTTGCTTGTTGTTGTTGTTAGGTGCCATTGAGATGGTACCAAATCATAGTGGCCTTATGCACAGCAGAATGAAACACCGCCCGATCCTGGGCCAACTTCACTACTGTTGCCACGCTTGAGTCCACCAATGCTGCCAATTAGCCAATCCATCTTGTTGGGGGTCTTCCTCTTTTTCTCTGACCCTCCACCTTACCAAACATGACATCCTTCTCCTGTGACTGGTCCCTCCTGACAATGTATCCAAAGTATGGAAGACGAAGTATGCAG